TTGAGTGAGTGATTCTCGGAAGAGTATCATCTAGACTTGGGTTCCAAGAACTTTGGACTGAATAGATTTTCTATCTCTTTAGTCTTTAAGTGTCTTGGTTGTTCAATGCATGTGACTGCATTGTAGTGCGTATTGTTGTCTGTGTCCGTTGTTTCAAGTGTGGTTGATTGTACTGTGTAGTGCGTTGTTTGTTTGGTGACGTATTGTATGTAACTATTGTGGAGTGTGCATTCTTGTGCATTGTTTTCGATCTGCCATTTTTGAGAATATAATATTTGTTTTGTTTATCAACTCTCGGCTCTGACTTGTTCTTTGGACCACAGCCGGCGTCCACTGGCGCGCCAAAAAGGACCACTTCTAAATTGTCCACGCTTTCGTGGTGCGGTTCGGAGGGCCGATACTTCGACCCTTGGAATTAGCCCGGCGATCGCCTCCCTAATAAACGGGACAGGTGTGACACTCGCTCGGTCAAAGATGGACCGATCCCGGAGGCATTGCGAAACCCCGTGACGTGCAGAAAGCTTCTAGTTCCTTTCATATTGGAGGAAGGACAAAACTATACCTTGTCACATTTAACGTTACCGTGTTAGCACAGTGTACGTAAACATGGCAGCGTTTTTGGACGCCCGCTTTCAAGTGATTTTGGCTTAGTTGTTGGAAGATTCACTTCCATAGCAGCAAACACCTGTTTAAAATGGCTTTGCTTGCTTTTATTTAGCTTCAATGACTGAGTATCACGGGTAAACTAGCGTAATTTTTTAGATAGCTTCGCATTTCCAATGTCTCTAGGCCTAACTAGTAGATCGATGTAAACAAATCGGCAGCATAATTGCTTTCGCGTTTGGTACGTCGTTCATACTTTACTTATTTTTTATTACTAAAATAAACTTGTAACAATGCTTCGCGCGGGGACGCAGGCCGACATTCAAATTTTTCCCCTTTTCACTGTGTCATTAGCTTATCAACCCTCCGAATGGTGGTGCCATCATCTCAGCTGGGGTACAGTATACTGCATATGCTACCTTATACAGTAATTCCTAATAACAGTACATATACCATATATACAGTAACTCTAAGCTGGGGCACGTAAACCACGTAAACACTATTCCGCTCAACATTACTAGATCTAATAACGTTGATCCCACTGAACTAAAAGACTCTGTCCACAACGTACGTTTGCTGCACGGTAATGCCATTCCTTTAACCCCCGATATCACGCTAACGCTATAGTATAACTTCCTAATCAAACACATCTATCTCCTCTATTACGAGACCGTTTCAAAAATTTTTCATGGCTTGGTGTTCGTCGTACACTCATGCACGATTTCCCCGCATGAACTGAATTTCGACCTTTGCAGCGGATGTCGTAGTGGGACCCGTCACTACCTTAATTTCTACAAAACGTGTCACCAGTAACGCAATACAAGGGGAAAATCAGGGACAGACAGTCTGATGACGCGCTTGTTCAGGACTGTGTACACGTAGGCATGTCGATTGTATACACTATAGCGTCGCCATTCCAGTTGCAGCGGCTTCTAACTTACTATCCGGGCCCAACAGTACTCGGGCACACTTTTACAACAGCGTTTTAAGCTCGCGCAAGGACAGAAACAGTTTATGAACGAGTGGTGCGGTGCAGCAGTGGCGACTGCACAGTGTGAACAAATTTTCACATGTGAAGCCAATCACCGAGAGTTTCGTGGGCTATAATCGGGACGTTTCAGAGCGCTCGGGACATACTCGACTGCACCACGCAAGAAGCGCGCGCATTCGTTTCGCTAGCGAACGTATGAAGGGCTCGACTGATTCATCACGTGCTTCTTTCTCTTTTTTTTTCATTTTAAGTGCGCAAGCGACCGTGCAAGCCGGGCGCCGTCTTGCAAAACTATTACTTTTTACAGTATTATAAGGCGCTGGGAAAATACAAAGAGGTGATGCTTCGGAGCCACTCAACTGATACTGCGGGACCCGAGGAAATCGTCGAGAGGCCCTTCCAGCTGAACACCGAAGTTCGCGAATGAATTTCGCAGTTGCACCTCAGTGTCTAATTGAAGCCCTGGAACGGCGGAAGCGGAAAGGTAAAGAGGGGGCCTTCGCGCTCCTCGCGGCTGTTGTAGCGGCGTATACACGCTTATGGCGTGGGGGCTTGCGAGCCCGTTGGGGCCGCTGTGGAGTTTGAAGATGGCGTATTCGTGTTCTAAAAGAAACTGAATGAACTGCTGTTGTATAATTCGACAGACGTCATCAATGTATACTGAAGAGAACATATGTTGAAATTGTAATGGAAATCAGAGCGTATAAAAAAATAGTCAGAGTTGAACTCCGGTGGTGCATTTTTGACCTCACTAAGATAATGCTTTCTTGCTTGCTCGTTCTTATATACCTTGGCTCGTACCTACTATGGCGTATCGGGCATTATACCGGCGGTTGTTGTAACGGGGAAAACGAATTGTTAAATTTTTAAGAAAAAAATAATTATTGAGTCATCTGGGGAATATAAGAGCGGATAATTATAAGGTGACTTACGAATAAAATAGATAAATAGCTAATAATTGAAAATAATAAATGAATGGTGATTTTCAAGAACTACAATTCCATTATGTAAAAAAAGAGAGAAGAACAAAATTTAACAAGCAAACCTTCTTGTGTCTCTGAAAAATTCACAAAGTTCTACGCAGATGCTCCTGTTGCTGTCCCAGAGAAGGAGTTTTAAGGGAAAGGGTGCTTTCAGAATTAAGAGTAATGTTTGTTTTCGGAATATAGTTTCTAAACGTTTCTTTCTGTGGCTTGTGAAACGTCAGCAAAAAAGAAAAAAAAGGATCGATGCTTTCTGGTTTTTGACAGAAAGAGCAAAGGGCACCTGACGAGACCTGTGTAAATAAAAATTTAGAAGTGGTATGTGGCGTCAAAATTTTGTGATGCCGTCGCGATTGCAAAGGCACGTCCTCTTCCTCTTCATCTCTCTTGACCGTAGACCTACTACACACAGGTGCGCATACTCAAACTACAATTGTAACTGTATTAACAGGTCTGTAATGGCTAGGGTGGTTCATTTTGCTGAGACGCTTCTGCAAAACCTTAATAAGTTCTAAAAAAACTAGCCAAAAGTGAAACCGAAACAGGGCACTAATCCGTGCTGGGTATGCGATGACTTCACAAAATACGCTACACGTCGCCACTGTTGCACGGTCATTGCACCTGTGTTTTCTTATATCACGCGAAAGGCAAGTTGGCGATGACATCAAGCGACATGATGCTGTGCTAGCCTGTTTGAACCATGGCCGGACTGTATAGGCGCGCCAGCGTTCCGTCTTATACAGTATCCGCAACGCCTCCGCTTTCATCTACCGCCGACACCATGTTGTCGCTACAGACCCTCCCGTTGCTGCCGTTGCTTATGTGATTCGACCGAGGCACCCAAGCCGTTACGTTCGCGACTGCGGTGCACGAACAGGTAGACGCGCACGTGCGCTCACATCCTTCTCAGCAAGCAAGAACGCCTTCAATTATAGTCTAAAACGGACCTTAACTGCGTCTAAGGCTCCTCGATGCTGGCTCCCCTGCGCCGCTGTGGGGCGCGCGCATCGAGGATCGCTAACTACGTCAAGGTCATTGCGCCCCAGGAGGTGAGCAGTAGCGCTAACCGCGGAGAAACGCTAGCATTGCGTTGCAGCCGCTGCGGAAAGCGACCAACACGAAGAGCAGACACGGCCCCGCCGCGGTGGTCTAGTGGCTAAGGGACTCGGCTGCTGACCCGCAGGTCGCGGGTTCATATCCCAGCTGCGGCGGCTGCATTTCCGATGGAGGCGGAAATGTCGAGGCCCGTGTGCTCAGATTAGAGTGCACGTTAAAGAACCACAGGTGGTCAAAATTTCCGGAGCCCTCCACTACGGCGTCTCTCATAATCATATGGTGGTTTTGGGACGTTAAAACCCACAAATCAATTGAAGAGCAGACACGGACCGTCTGGTGGATTCCGGCTGGCCACGATAAGCAGCGCCCGAGCGAAAGCACCAGGGGCTCGCTGCCACCCCAGAACAAGGGCAGTCGCGAGTGCCAGAAGGCGAGAGTAGCGAGGGCTGCTCACCGAGAAGATGTGACGCCGAGGTGATGTGTTGCCGTATCGCGATCACCCTTATTCGCGGGGCTTGGATAGTCGTCCGCCGGACAATGGACTGAAGTATTCTCTCTCTCTCTCTCTCTCTCTCTCTCTCTCTCTCTGAACTCGACAGGGAAGGCCATACGCTAAACGTTTGCACGCCTTTCCAGTCATCCGGGTCCTAATTTATCAGTGACAAGTTCAACGATGAATGCAGACTAACATCGCCGCCTTTTGATTTCGATCCGCCGGTGCAAAATGCAGCTGACGTGCTCCGCCTTGATCTGCTCGTTTTTTCAAGATTGTACGTACATCTACTGGAAGACCCGATGACAACGAAACTGATCAACTACTCGCGCCATCACTGCCACGTAGAAAAAAGCGCGCGCCGCATCCATCTGCTGGATGATGCAGGGTTAGAAAAAGTAGGCATGTTACGTCACACGCACATAACATCCACTGTTTACAGGCGTGATTACGGAATCTGTTACTATTTTTATTATTTTTTACATTCATATGGTTCTGTTTATGGCAGGTGTAGAGTACCGAAGGGAACATTTACTCAGCCCTCCCACCAAAATGTTGCCCACTGAATTGCAGTATTCACGGTATATTTGCAACACGCAAAAAGCGTGTGCTATATCTTCGACGCACTATGGCAAGTGCGAAACCATCGGTTAATGCCCGGGACTGTTCACCTTCTTGAACTAGTATAGCGTTCCACATTGGCACAAATCTCTATGTGAGAATATGTTGAAAGCTTTAGTGAAATCGGTGGATATCGGTGAACACCTCCTATTGATGACAAGTGTGGGGCAGACATCGCGCCCTTCCATTTGGTGACTACAGGTGACTTTGGTGATCGCATGTACGGTACGTACAGAGAGCGGCATGTACGTACCGGTAGCTGGCGACCCAGTCGATGCCTCTTCCCTCGTCCACCATATACTCCGTGTGTAGCGGGTTCTCCAGCAGATGCAGGATCCACACCTGCTTCCTCTTGAAGCCCAGCGAAGGCCCGCTGTAGCCGCCTCTGAAGACGACGGCAGCCAACTCGGTGCTCCTCTGGACGTCGTTGTAGTTGTTGTACAGGTAGCAGTCGTCCACAGGACACCGGTCGTGCAGGAACCGTCTGCGGCCGTCCATAAAGTCCGCCCAGGGCCCGACCAGCATAATCGCTTTCGTATGTGGCCCTGCGTCGATCGAACGCAACAACCTTCTCATCATCAGTTACTAGGAAAAAATTCCAGCTCCGCCCACGGCCATCAACGTCCCCCCCGCAGAAAACTTGCGTAAACGTTCCGCACAGGATTGCTTACTCACGTTCGTGACGACTGCAGGCTCTCTTTAAATGTTTCAGATGACATTGCCGTACGAAAACACGTTTATTTTCCTGGTTTTAGACCCGAAGCTTGCACGTACTGGTAAATGTATCGGAGATGCTGACATCGCTACTCAGCCATACGTAATAATTTCGGTAGTGACGGCGAATCTTTGAAGCTTGCTATGCAAGACACTTACATTAGCCAAGAAAACAAGTGCTTATGATTCGAACGGAAATGAGCTAGCGCTATTGCTTTCCACAGCTGCAGTATAGGGGCACTGCGGCGTTGTGGGCGAAGCTTACTTTTTTTTTTAGTTGCAGTGACCATATTTTTGTTTTTCTCTTGAGGAAAGGGCACATAACTGGGTAGAAAAACAGCGTTATACCAAGGTGTTGTTCCAATGACGGAAAGCAGAAATAGCTGTGACGAAGGCATTATGCAACAAAGGTGATGTTATAATTCTAATTTAGTTGTAAAGAATTGAGACAGAAGTGTTTGAGAAGAGGATGCACGGTTTTTCAAACGCCAGTTGTGGGTCTTATGGAAGAGAAACATTTGGTTAGATGATCGTATGACATCGAAAGATACAAAGCATTGTTAGAATGTATCACCGCGTCTACATGTCAGCAAAAACATTGCACAAGCATAGAAGCACCAATTATAACTTAGACTCCGAGAAATAATCGACTGAACATATAAGAAAAGGAACTGTATCACAACGGTGATACAGTCAATTGCTGGTTTTAAGAAAAAAAATATAATCCTATATTTTGTTCCCGCTCAATCCAACCTGCTCCTTTCATTTCTTTGCACCGCAATCACCCCCCCCCCCCCCAAAAAAAGCCACAGTCTACCATTGCAACACAATTAGATATGCCCAATCATATATGGCAACAACGTATAATCAATTGAATTCCCTGCCAGCATAATTAACAAGCATCACGGATTCCATTCCATCCAAGAATATCCTTAAAACAATGATTACCTAATTACTCCCTTATGCTTATTCAACAATTCATTTCGCTTATGGCCCTCACCATGTAGTAAACACAAGATTATTGTTCACCATTTGTTTTTGATAATATTTTATGAACTTGTTAGCAGTATTCGACTTCGTACCTCAATCAGATGATATGTGATTTCTGTTCCTTTACTTTTTTATTGTTATCGCCCTTCCCCCTCTGCAACGCATGCACCCTGAGGATTAAGTAACTAATGAACTAAATAAATAAAAAAAAATTGGCAGATACCACGTACAGTGGCAATCGATGATATGTGAAGCACGAATGAGAAATATTGATAAGTCACTTTAAAATCAGCACAAAGTTACGAGGTGGAGGTAAATGATGCCGTACATGACTTTCGTGTCATGATTATCATGCTGGGATGTATCGTTCACTTTCGTCATCTATTCACATCACACGATACTAAATTGAGTATATGTGGAGCTAGGGAAACGGCTGCGAGCACGCTATGAGCGTGGTATGTTGTCATGTTCTTACATGACACGCGTGTCAGGTTTATCATGTTTGCACCAGTCATATATTTCATCATTCAATGACGTCACGTAACACCTAATTTGGTATATGTCGAGCTAGCGAAACGGCCGCGAGCGCATCATGAAGGGTCCAATATACTCCAATGTAGCGTTGACGCGTGCGCACGCTGGGCACAGCGACGCTAGGTTATAAAAACGCAAGTGCTGCATAGTCTGACGCCAGGCGCGACCAGCGTCCGTCGGCGCGGCCCGACGGCAACCTGCGCGAATTGTGACATGCTGCATTTCGCGCCGATGCGTTACCCAGACAACACGTGTCTCCCTCTTTTCGCAATGGAGGGACGCCGGACGCACTGAAACGCGCATGCCTCAAAGCAACGCAGCGCAGCGCGCGCCGGCCAGTATATGGCAGGACCAGCGCCTGGCGTGGCAACGCCGGCATAATGCGACGAAATGAGCGCCAGCGAGCACGCGCACCGCGTCACGTCGAAATTATTTGGCGCTTTGACTGTGGCATGTAGTCATGTTTCACATGACACGCATCTCATGGTTATCATGTTTGCACCAGTCACATACCTTTGTCAACCATTGGCGTCACGTAACACCCAATTTGACATATGTGAAGCTAGTGAAACGGCCGCGAGCACATCATGAGCGTAGCATGTAGTCATATTGTTACATGACACACATCTCATGTTTATCATGTTTGCACCGGTATCACACCTTCGTCACCCATTAACGTCCCGTAATACCAAATTTGGTATAAGTCAAGCTAGCGAAACGGCCGCGAGCGCATTATGAGCGTGGCATGTAGTCATGTTGTTACATGACACGCATATCATGATTTTCATGTTAGGGTCTGTCGCTTGTGTTCACCATGCAATCATGCCATACTATACCAGTTTTGAAACATGCCATGTGAACGAAACCACCGGAAGAGCTGCAGGACCATGAAATGTAATTCATGACTTTCATGAAATACATGTCATGATTTTCATGTTATGACTAGTCAGATATGTTCTTCATACAATGACGTTGCGCATTAACAAGTTTGATATCCATACCATTATCGAAACGGCCAGGAGAGCTAAAAGTCGTAGGCGGCTAGACAGACAGACAGACAGACAGACAGACAGACAGACAGACAGACAGACAGATAGACAGACAGATAGATAGACAGATAGACAGACAGACAGACAGACAGACAGACAGACAGACAGACAGACAGACAGACAGACAGACAGACAGACAGACAGACAGATAGATAGATAGATAGATAGATAGATAGATAGATAGATAGATAGATAGATAGATAGATAGATAGATAGATAGACAGATAGATAGATAGATAGATAGATAGATAGATAGATAGATAGATAGATAGATAGATAGATAGATAGATAGATAGATAGATAGATAGATAGTGTTATGCCAGCGAGTCCTCGTCAAACGTCCGTGCCTCTGAAAAAGGCAATCTGGGTCAAGGCCAGCCCGCAGTCCGCCTGGCGCGATCAACTCGACGGAGTGAACACGCGCGGCGCCTCCCTGGCCCACGTGCATTGAGTCAGCTGCGCACGTGACAGCGAGCCGGCGTCCGCGTGTCTGGTGGTCTGACGCATGGCGCGGCGACCCCCATTGGAGGAATCTGCCCTGACGACCAGCGGCGCTTCTGATTGGACATTTTGGTTGGACCCGGTGTAAATAAAAAAAGCCCTGCGGCGCGTCGCGATCGGCGGTCCTGAGAGAGGAGTCCCCATGTCGGAGAGCCGACATGTGTATGAGTCAGCGGTCTTAGGCGAAAGGCTGATCTATGTGTTAGAGAGGAGAGCTCGGCTCTTCGTGTCTCTGTCGGCCCCAGTGCCGAAATTGTAACGCCTCTGTATATATGCTGTACATAAACCTTGTTTAACTCACCGTCGTCTCGTCCGCTCGTCTTATCAGCTCGGCGCAGAAGCAGTCGCGAGCTGAGAAACATACGCTACCAAACGGCTGGTGACCTTCCCGGCGGGGTTGAAAGCAGTGGCGCCTCCGGGGCCGTGTTGGCGTCGCCGTCTTTCGCAACAGTGGTGGCTTCGGCGGGATCGGTCCAGCCTTCGCAACAGTGGTGGCAGCGGTGGGATCGGTCCAGCCTTCGCAACAGTGGTGGCAGCGGTGGGATCGGCCGGCGTCAGCGACATCGATGCGGTGAGTGCCTGATGTTTTCCCCTCAGTTCACCAGACTACTCTAGCTCAGGTTGTAGTAGTTTAGAGAAGGGCTGTGTGAAGCATTAGAGTGAGCTTTGATCGTTTCAAGCAAAATCGAAGTGCTTTGAAACCAAAGTTAATGCGGAGGGGGTAAACACGGGAGAGTGAAAAATTGCTTGCGCGTCTTGCTAGTTGACTTATAGTGGGTACGGCAAGTAAATTGTTAACAGGGGCAAACAGCAAGAGGCTAGTGTGAACGATGGAGAACCTTAAAGTGAAGGAACTCATCGAAATTTGTGAGGAACTCGGCATTATTTTGGGCCGTGCGAAACGAAAGCAAGCGATCCTTGAGATCATGAAGGATGAGGGAGTGTCGGCTGAGGAAGTCGATGAGGCCTGGGTGGATATTAAAGCACGCCGTGAGGAGGCTGAAAGGCGAGAAGTAGAAGCTCGCGAAGAAGCTGAAAGGCGCGAACGTCGCGAGGAGGCCGAGAGACAGGAGCGTCTCGAGATGAAACGACTAGAATTGGCAATCCTACAGTGTTCGCAGGCGCCTAGCGTAGCTTCTCCAACAGTTCAGGTCAGCGGTTTTAGAATTCGGGACCAACTGCCACCGTTCGTAGTAGGCGAGGACATGGCGAAGTATCTCGTCAAGTTTGAACACGTCTGTGAGCGAAATGCTTTGGAGCAGTCTCTTTGGGCGCTGTTGAGAAACGGCGGACCGATCCCGCCGAAGCCACCACTGTTGCGAAAGACGGCGACGCCAACACGGCCCCGGAGGCGCCACTGCTTTCAACTCCGCCGGGAAGGTCACCAGCCGTTTGGTAGCGTATGTTTATCAGCTCGCGACTGCTTCTGCGCAGAGCTGATAAGACGAGCGGACGAGACGACGGTGAGTTAAACAAGGTTTATGTACAGCATATTTACAGAGGCGTTACAATTTCGGCACTGGGGCCGACAGAGACTCGAAGAGCCGAGCTCTTCTCTCTAACACATAGGTCAGTCTTTCACCTAAGACCGCTGACTCACACACATGTCGGCACTCCGACACGGGGACGCCTCTCACATAGGACCGCCGATCGCGACGCGCCGCAGGGCTTCTTTTATTTACACCGGGTCCAACCAAAATGTCCAATCAGAAGCGCCGCTGGTCGTCCGGGCAGATT